ATTGAAACGGACAAAGAGTTATCCAAACAAATACAACATAAACAAAACAGTTCATGTATAATTTATATCTAAATTATTTCAACTGAACCAAAATATTAATAGATACTGAATACGTAAGATATAATTTTTATTTTTATTTCAAAATAACTTAGTAAATTGATATTAGTATATATATATATATATATATACATACATATACAAATTTTATTTCAATTACTTTTAATATTTATATATTTTTTTAAAAAAATACTATGACATTATCAGTATGCAAAAAAATAATTTCTAATCATATTAATATATTTATTTTACCTTATTTTTTCTACAAAAACCGAACCTTTTTTTATGGAACCCGCACAATTTTTTTATTCAAAACCGCACTTGTCCCGGAAACCGCATGAATCACCGTTGAACCGTACCTCATTTTAATTCCGTACCGCTTATATTAATAAAACCGCTGACCATTCGGACCCTTATAATTACTAAAAGAGAGAGAGCCAAGCTACTTTAAAGTAACTAAAACTGACAGCAATGACAAAACCCCTTACTATGTTATGTAGAAGTCATTGAACTGATGAAAAAGTTTGATTGAAGAAATGATAGTGAGGTAACCTCCAATTCTCTTGGGATTCACTATGATGATTAAGAGAACATAAACGAAATTGCGACAGGCCTTTGTTGACATTGATTAGTTTGAGATGCCTTAAAACATATGCGGATTTTGAAAGAGGTAGACAGAAATCCCAATATAACAAATTTGTAAGAGTCGAAACAAATGTTAGAGTAAATGAAACACATGGCGGTTTATATACCTCAAGAATTCATGAGCGTCCTTGTGACACCCCACCTTAAAATGGTTGGAAAATATCTGAGACAGCTTCAAATCTGGTTTGGTGCATTTCTTCCTTCATCTATCCAAAGAGAGTTTGCTATACGATTTTTCAACTAATAGAGAAGTAGAATCTTGTTTCCTCTCCACATCCACATATGAGTCGCGAACCTAAACCAAAAGCTATGTCAGAGATGCAGAGCAACAAATGAACAAAATAGCAAAAGAAAAAGCTTGTAAGCAGTAGAACTATATGACTTAAGAAAAAACTTGTACGAAAAACTGTATAAAATTTATGAGGATCTTCAGTGATGGAAAATTTCTAATATACCTAATACGGGAAAACCAAAGCCAGAACACGAGAGCGAGTCCTTAGAGGATAAACTAAAAAGCGAGATAGAGTCGACATCCAAACTTTTAAATCTTGAAACTTACGTGAGAGCTAGCTATGCGTGGTGAAAACCTATAAAGAAGACATCAATATCACAAAAATCTACATTTCAATGCATATAAAGCGTCCACGGGTACTATAAAGCACAATTCTCATGGACCTTATGATAAGCTTCGACCATAAGGCCTCTCACTTCTTTCAAGACTTTTATTTTCTTCAGAAAATACCAGACCACAGTCCATCACTTACATAAAGTGATTATTATATTACTATTAAATATGATATTTACTCATACAACTGCACCTGGATATCAACGATACCAAGATTAGCAGGAAGCTGGAAAAAAAGAACTGCTGAGAAGATTATTAGTATCAACATCATCACCCTGAAACTGATTTAGAAGAATATTCTAGAATAAGCAACACATGTTTGGGAAAGTAAAGCTAAAACCTTAGTTCTCAAAAATGAGATGTGGCATTAGCCTTGCCTCAATCCTCTTCCACTTTTGAAAAACTCCGCAAGCTATTGAGCCAAACAATCCAATCAAAAATCAGACATAAAGAGTTACATAAAGAGAAAAAAGTGTATGTGAATGTAACTGCTTACATTTTCTTCGATGGTGACAGTCTGACAGATTTTTTAAAATCCTCAAGAAGGGGATGACTCTTCATAAGAGTAACGAAAACGAAAAAAAAATATTGCAAACATCTTGTGGGACACCACAGATCGAGACTATATGCCACTTGCCATGTCTTTTGGCTTGCTTATGATATCACAGTCGATCCCTGTTAATTTTAAAAATCTTAACAAAGACAACTTTAGTCTGTATTCGGTTAATTAAATATCTGAACTACACAACGATCACATAAATTTTCTAAGGAGAGAGAGAGGGGTGTACCATAATCTTTTCATGATCATAGTCTCATAGACGATACTCTGGTGGCTATCAAAACACTGCAGCTTTGCTCGAATTTTGAAGCTACATTGTTGCCGTATCTTTTCTTGTGCCTATCAGATGTTGATGGAAGAAGAAACTGCAGGTTGGTTGTTGTTGAAGATTGACACAACATGTCACCATTTCTTTCTTTGGTGTGAAATTTTGGCATCCTCATTTTCCCCTCCCTGAAGAAAATCTATGAAACTTTGGTTTTATCTCTTAAAATGAATCTTTGAAGACGAAGAGTGTGATGACCCGAACGCCCACAGCTAATAGGTCACCCACATCCGTTTTCTCGGCCCGTGGACCCCATCCCGTTCCAACGGCCGGTCCGTTAATTTTCCAATGCTCTAGAGTCATGTTTACTGACCCTGCAATCACCACATGACATTTTCCCGTGCTTTGGTCTCACTTACACAGTATCGCAAATCACTTCCCGATAGGTCACCCATCCTTAGACTACTCCAGGTCAAGCACGCTTAACTCTGGAGTTCTCCCTGGATGTGCTCCCGAAAAGGTAAGTGCACTTTGATGATATAGGTAGCTAAATCAATCCTCTTAAGACTTTCCGTATATCAAAATTCGGGATGTTACAAAGAGATTTAAAAAGAAGGTGTGTTTATGCATATTTAATCGTATGAAAAAGTAGAACAGAAGTGTTAAGCGAGGAAGGAGAACTCACCAGAGGTGATCTCAATATATAGGATGATGGAGGAGAAGTAGGTGACTCGTCGGTATTGAATGATGAGTGTAGAGCGAAAGAGATCGAGTTATTGAAAGATTAGCCAAAATAGGAATCACAGAAGTAGCCAAACAATCTCGAAGGCGAAAAGGAGACTTCTAGGATTTCTTCACATGTTGACAGACCTAAAAATGATAAAGTTTTACGGCCTAAGATATATTAAAACCCATTGAAATCAGCCCACACAGAAGACGACCCACGCAAAAAGGAAAACAAAATGAGAGTGTGCCCCACATAGTGCTGGCGTGGACATCCTCAAAACTCCCTCATTACATTATAGTTTTTCTAAGTTTTCAAATATTTAATTTTGATATGTTTGAAATATTATTGAAATGTTCAAAATTGTAGTAATTTGTGACATATGGATAATAATGGTTATATACGCTATTGTCATTAATAATATGATCAAAAATATTATTCCTAGTGATGATATGATCAAAATTGTGAAATATTTTAAAGTTTTTATCTGATTTTTTAAAATAATTTTTTTCTTTTATTTTGAAAAAATTGCATTTTAAAAAAGTTTTAAAATTTTAATAAAGCATTTTGATTTTTTAATTTTCTGTAGTGTTTAATTTTTTATTTACTGCTACCAGTTTTTCTTAATTAAATAAATAAAAAATAAAAACACTGATATGTTTTGATGAATAAATAAGTCAAATTTAAGGTTTTTATGATACAAAATCCAATTTGAATCCAAAATATGTTTGTTAAATAACATTTTTTATTCTTATTACAGTTTCACTATTTAGTTGAGTGTTTTTTTCCAAGGTTTTTGTGTAGAAGGGTATTGAAGATTAAAAGAAGGTGTGTATCATTTTGAAACACTACCACAGCCATATCCGCGAGAGATTTCTATTCCTTATTTTATGATTTTGTTTCTTTTTTCTTCATGCGTATTTGACTATTTGGTGATTTTTTATCTTGACTATTGTCTATAGTGGGGGGTATGTTTAGCTTAATTTGAAACATATCTTTCTAAACAGTTGTCGATATAATATTTTATATTTTGTGAAAATAAGATGCTAACAATCAATCTTTTCTCTATTATAGAACTATCTTTTCGGTGGATTATATGACATTTTTTAGGCTGAAAATGTTGTGTTTGGCTGTGAATTGGAAGTCTTATATATCTGGAAAACAAACTGTTTTGTTTTCTTCAAGTCGACTCAAACATGTACACTATATTATATTCTCAGTTCGTTTATTCACTTGTGTTGTGATTTCTGATACATTTAATGGTAGTCAGAAAAGTTGTTTAAAGTTTGGAAAAATACCTCGAAAATGAGATTTGATGCACGTTTTGAGGGAAGCTTGGTTATTTCAGTATCAAACCCGACAACTGAAGCGCAAACATTATCGTCATTGACGCTAAGCTAAACTGTTGTACCTACAATCATCAGTGTTCAATAGGGAGTATAAGTAAAATTAGCTAGTAAAATGAGTCTAAAGTGAAAGTTAAAGTAAAATGGACATTAAGTTTCAAAATAAGAGAGACATTTATGGCTAATTAGAGCCAAAAATATCATTAACTGCATACACACCTCTCCCTTCTCACGTATATAGTGAAATTCGGAGTTGGTACTAAACAGACTACTCGTAAAGATAAAACAATTATGTTTGTTTACCATAAAAGATATGACATGGATTGATTGATTAAGTTTCATTTGACGTGTAAGACGTTTTTAAATTGGATAGTGGAAGCACATCAAGAAAAAAGACAACATTTTAGAATCACAAATTATATCTTAATCAAAAGCTTTCAGATTATATATCTAGCTGATATGAGACAAAGTTATTAATCATTTTTTTATAGTAAGAATAGAGGAGTCTAAGAAATGTTACCTCACAACATAGTTATAATATGGAAAAATTTGATGTAGCTTTGACCTTAACTTTTTTTTCTTTTCAAATCTCTGATTATAAACATTAATTTTAGTTATTTGAAAATTGAAAATAAAGAGAATAAAAAGCAATAGGATGATGAAAGAGGGTATGTGGCATTATCGTCACTAGAATATCAGAATTTATAAGTTTAATGTAAGCATTGTCAACATGTCTCTAGTTGGAAGTTGAAAAGTTGATAGACGTTTTGAAATTTAAAATGTACTCCGATACCACAACTCGTGTGACCCATAACTGTACTCATTTCCGCTTCAAGTACACTATCATTCTCTTTGTCCTCCTTTCTCTAACTCTAATCACACGCCACATAGCCATCCTCACTTTTGGTCTAGCTTGGTTCTTTCTCTGTTTTGCTCGGAAAAATGTGCTGACCATCATCATATTTACAGTTTATGACGGCGTAATGGCGGTACTTCTAATTGGTTTTACAATCGCTTTGCTAACTGTCACTGGAGTTTGGCTCAGTGTTCATCACCACCGATGGATTTAGTGTCCTAATCTTGTTCTTACAAGCTGTGCAAAGAGGAATGGAAGATCTTGTGACGAACTATTTGGAATCATCTTATGCACCAATGTTATCTATAGACCTGAAAATGCGTGTAGTTATAATGAAACTTTACCCACATTGGTTGCTTGTGATCGAAGATTTAAGGGTTTGTTGTCTTTATATATAAAGTTGGAAAAATGATTGCCACCTATCTGAAGTATCGTCCACTACATGCCTAACCATGCAAACTAAATAAATGTACACTCAGCTACATGAAGTATATGATATGCATACTAACATCCATGAACTTTATGTTGTTATGTAGCTAACATCACAAGACTAGTTATATTAATTATATCACTAGGCTAATTACATTAATAAAAAAACATAAATATAAAAAACATTTTAAGATATGAAAAATCTTTTTTATTTGATGTTTTTATTATTACGATTTTTTTTTTATATTTTAAATATTTTTGTACAATAATATTAAAGTAGATGTTATTTTAGAAAAAAAAACTTTTAACTTTATATAAATTCTATATTTTTAGTTGTTTGTTAGTTTAGCATTTATTTTTACTTATTATTTAAAGTAATTATTTATATTTATAAAGTAAGGATAGAAAAATATTTAGTTTTTTTTTTAATTAAACTACATAATTAGGTATATTTGAAAATGTTCATGTAAGGAAGATACATACGAATAATGGTATCAAAGGTGAGGTAAAAGTAATAAATTTCTATTATTCTGTGTTAGGTTAAATAAAATGTTTTATATGTAAAAATATGTTTTGGATTTTAGTTAGTTAAGGCATTTATACAATGTTTTTCAAAACAATTATATATATATATATATATATATTAATGTATCTATAAACATTTTCAGTAAACTAAAATGTTTTTAATATTTGTAATATTTTATTAGAAAAAGTTTTTTGTAATGAAATACTTAAATTTTTTGTTTATTGAAAATGTTTATATAGACATTTTAAAGATAGAAAACATTTTGAAAAACATTTTTTAAATGACAAAAGTATTTAAATAATTATATATATATATACGTTTATAAAAATTGGTAGAAAATCCATTTTCCATTTAGTGAAAATGTATTTGTAAAAACATCTCCCTAATGAAGGAAACATGAATTGTGCTACAACAAATAGGGTAAAAATATAATGTCATCTAACAAATCATGTAGAAAAATAAATGATAAACTAACAAACTATTAAATTTAAAAATTAAAACAAAGATAAAAGTGTTTTCCAAAATAACATTAATTTTTAATATTTTTGTATAACACTTTTTAAAATAAAAATATTCATAATAATAAAAATGTAAAATATAAAAAAGATTTCCATATCTTAAACGTTTTTATATTTTATATTTATTATTAAAGTAATTAATCTTGTGATGTAATTAATTGTTATTAGCCTTGTGTTGTTAGCTACATAACAACATAAAGTTCAAGGATGTTACTATGCAAACCATATACTTTGTGTAGTTGAGTGTGCATTTTTTTACTTTGCATGGTTAACCATGTGATGACCGATACTTCAAGTAGCTGCTAATCATTTTTCCTATAAAGTTCAGCGTCAATTTAGGTCACTAACCCCGCTTTTGGTAGCCTAACATGTTTGTTTGGCTCATTCTGTATGGATTACATCTTTACCAATTAACACTAAATAATATTATTGATTGAATCGATCGGTGATACACAGAAAAGAGGTTGGGTTATATGGAAGAAAGCTAACAACTAGATAAATAATATTGGACCCAAGATAGGGAACTAATATCTTCGTGAGCATCATATTTTGAAACGTCACAAGTAATCAGTTCCAGATGAGTTTTTTTTTTAATGATTATACAAAAGATACATGAAATTTTCATGTTTTTTTTTGTGTGAATTTCTCATATGTTCACATTAGTTTTTGTCGTGTTAACTTTCAAATAGAGTTGTCAAAAAAAACAATTAAATAGAAAGATAATATATAAAAATATTGCAAGAAAACAAAACCTAGTAATTATTAATTATTAGATTTAATTGGTTTATGTTGATAAGAGAAAAGATTTCATTGGTTTACAAAATAAATATGATTTACAACTTTAAATTGGTATATAAATTAAAATTTAGTCTACAAATTAAAATTGGTTTTACAAACCTGTCTAAACATAAAAATGGTTTACAAACCTAAACCAACACCTAAACTTAAACTTAAAAGGCATCATCGTCCTGCGACGTTAGGGTATGGTGGAGCTGAAGGGTGTTTCTATCTCCCCTCCTCTCTCGATCAGCTCATAATTCAGGGAAGGAGAAGCTCTGCTTGCTTCCCTTTTTCAATTTCTCTCAAATTGAGAAACATAGAGAGGGGATAAGAGACTTGCCAAGAACAGAGTCCGGGTTTACCAAATCAGTGAAACTGAACTTCACCCAAATCAGTGCAGTTTGGATTAATTTCTCCTTCCATAATGTGGTATTCAGTAACCTTCTCCTCTTCTCCATGGTAATATAATATAACAGGTATTGTAATGCTCGAGAGCAAGAAATTGATGAATATCACAACACCAAACATTCTTATTTATATAGATTGAGCGAAGAGTGGGTGTATCGAATGAAACCTATTGGGTAAGTGAAGTGGATCGGTAATATTAAAGGATTCAACTAATATATTTTACCAAATGTATCGGCAGTTATACATCCATGTCATCAGACTGGTTCGCAGGAACATAGACCGACACTACATGTGAGTCGGTGGAGTGAAAAAAATGAAGACTATGGCTTTTACATTTGGGCTTCAATAACATAAATTTCATGGCCCAACTATGTACTAATATAAATATTTATTAGAGATGAAAATAACTCAATTACATAGAAGCTCAACAAAACTTACACTCGGCCTAATTAAATTCATGATGTTGTGTCAGATTTTCCTTTTTATTTAATGACGTGGCATCACTAGAAGGGAGATAATTGTTCTTTATATATATAGATAACCTAACAACAATCAATGCCAACCAATACCACTCAATAATATAAAAAATATAAGAAAAATCTAGGTTTGAAACATCTCACCTGATGTTAGATCTGAACAAATTTGAAGAACTAAGACGAAAAAAACATATCAATCAACAACAAACACATCAACCTCGGTGCCACCACTTGCGACGGCTGGGATCCAACTGCTGGCGTTTGGTGAGAGGAAAGAGAAACAATGGGGTGATTAGAGAGAACTAAGATTTTCTAGTCTTTCATAATCTCTGCAGGATTTTGCTCTTTAATCTCTAAAGGGAAAAAAATAGAGTAAGAATTTTTGTATTTATAGGAAAAAAAGAGAATATTAGATTGTTTTTGTTTTATTGGAATGAAGAATATGAGCTTTTCGTTAAACCATAAAAATTATGGGCTTATGGATTTCGAATATTACAATATGAGTATTTATATATATATTCTTACTGATAGTATCTCTTTTTTTTTGTTCAAAAAAAAAAAAAAATATATATATATATATATATTCATGTTTTTCATCCATATGTACTTGTATTTATCTCTGTATCGTCTCGGTGCAACATCTATCTTATTAAAACTAAAGTACTATTTTGACTTAAACTCTAACTCACTTAACTAGCTTTTGACCCGTGCGTCCGCACGGGTGTATATTCTACTTAATTATATTTTTTTGTTAGTTGTAAAAACATTAAAGTTACTGATTTATTGTTTATTGAGCTGTGACGTTAGTGTATCTTATTCAGTTTGTTTATGGTATACTTTTATTCTATGCGATTGTATTCATCTGTTATTGTATTTTTTTTTATTTTACTTGGTACAGTAGAATTTTTGTGTGTGTTTATCATATGATACTATTAAGGTTGTGATTAAAATTATATTTGAATTTATAATCTAACATTTTTTTAAAAACAATTAAATTATTTAGACAGCAACAATAAAAACTAGATGGAAAGTAACACAAATAACATTTAAAATAAGTAAAGATTTATAGCAATTACATTTAGCAAGTGCAAATACATTGAATTGGGCCTATTTGGTATAACTCGAAATTGTTACATCATATTTTATAAAAAATAGTGGACTATTACGATCAAAATTGAGGCCCATATGTATTTTTCCGCGAGAAAAAACAGAAACATGTATTACTTCGACGACTTTTTTCAACCGATATCTTTGTCAGTGCCGTCACTTTTTCTGGTGAGATCTTCGTAATCTCCCGTGAAGTTTTCACTCAAAGGATGACAGAATATAGATCTATTGATTACTACAAATTGAACTTTATTTTTTATGATTAGTTGTTTTCTAATCTATATTATGTGTTAGAGCCCATCCCCGGTTTAATCAAGAAGAAAAAATGTCTTGCATGTTACAGATTGTGGATCGAATCAGTATAAGCTCTTCTTTGTTCGCAGTTTGCAAGTACTAATTTCCAGGACTTCGTGTTGATGTCAGGTCTTTATTCTTTGCAAGACAATTCTAATAGTTCTGAATCCATCATAAATCAAAGTCTTTAGCTAAAGAGTATGATGGAATGAGTTCACAAATTGGCTTCATTGTTATAGTTCTGATTAATTATGAAGATCATAGACTATTGTTAATTAGAGATGTCGGATTGACATGATTGTCTCAGTTCTGTTTAAAGCTATATTTAAAAATGATGTTGTGTCTGGCATGATGTACAAAGAAAAGAAACCAAAAGTTATTTCAGAGTTTATTAACTGATGATCCGAATGGCTTTGAGTCAACCCCTTAATCTTAGCAAATTCTTATACATATTTTATTCTAAACCGGATTTATGTTATGCCTGTCTGTGTAATCTTAGAGATTTGTTAAGATTAGTTTTCTAAAATCAGTTCGTTTATATAGATCGGGCCAATTGACGTCTGATATTCAAGCTCATGTGACCCTTGCCGTGTTATTATTAACCTTGTGCTTTATATTTTACAAATTCCATTGAAGCTTAACTCCTGTTGTAACCAAGCAACAGTAACCCTATTAG